TACAAAAAAAGTATAAAAATTCCCTTCTTTGATTTAGATTTTTGCATTTTTTTCTGTCACACCCCCATATCACCCCAAAACTACCCCTTGAATAAATGGCAGAATGGTTTATGTATATTTTCCTTGCCTCAAATGTAATATGCTGCAAAAATTATAATTTATTCGCATTCACTGACAACTTTTATAAAATTCAAGGCAAGGAAAACAAACAAAACATACTGCAATTTATTCAAGGGGTAGTTTTGGGGTGATTTGAAGGTGTGGCAGAAAACCTTGCAAAAATCTCAATCGCAGAAGGGTATTTTATTCTTTTTCAGGAAAAACACATTGACGTAGTACAGAGTGGAAGAATTTTGTTGCTTTAGGGGTTGTTTTAGGGGTTGAATGGTTGAAAAGTTAAGGGGTTGCATATGTGTCATCCCTTTATGCATTAAGTTGGCCAAGCACCCTTAATTCATGGAGCTTTGCGCTCATACTGTAGCATAAATACTAAAAATGCAGGTTTTAATATTTTCAAGGGGGTGTAAAAGGGGTTGAAAGGGTGGTGGTTGAAAATTATGCAGCCCACCCTAATGCTAAATGATTATGGGTTGATTCTTGAAAGTTTCAGGCCATTGCGTGCACAACTGGAGGGCCGAGAGCCAAAAAAGGGAACTTGGGGTCCGCGCGGACCCCACGCTAATCATCGCGTAGAAGTTCATAGCACTAATGCTCAGGGGTTAATTTTTTAAATTAATTTTGTAAACAGCATAACTGAAACTTTTTTGAAGCAAATAAATGTTAAGCAGTAATTTTTATAAAAATAGTAAGTATTAAATATGCTCAGAAGATGATGAATCATGCAATTTATTCATTCTTGAAGTATTTTCTCTCTGTTCCTTAATTAATTATTGTTACGTAGATTTATTATGTAGCTGAATATCTATGTAGTTGCGAAAAAAAAAAATAATAAATAAATACATATTATACTAAAAGTATATGAAAAATTTGAAAACAATTAAGTTTTTGGGGGGTGTTGCTATGGATGAATTTACGTGCAGCGAGATCAAGTCGGAATTGTAAAAAAGGCCGAATGTCTATAAAAGTCATCCCTCAGCTCCTGCCTATGGCCTATGGGAGATCTCTAATAAAACGCAGCATAAAACGCGATAGGCATCACGAGAGGCGCCCGAAAAATAGTCTGGCGTGTATTTGCTACTGATCTTGATTGGAAATAAACGATGGAAACGTATTTATGTTTGTGTGTGTGACATTTTCCCGAGAGCGGCTTTAGATGGGCTCGCGATAAGGAGGTGATCGGCTGCAGATACACGGCCGGCCTCTTAATTAGAGTGACGACAGCCGCCGCTGCCGCTGCGACCTGGGAATCCTTCCAACAAAAGAAGAAGAAGAAAGAGTAAAATGAACCGCCGACTCGCGCGCAGTTTCACGGAGAACCGACAGGGGGAAGCAAAAAGCGGCCCTGAAAAAGGGTAATAATTAATTTAAGGAGATCAGGTCCGTTTTGGTCTATTGAGCGTCTTTTGGTTTCAAATAAGTGAATTAAATAAAAATTTTGACTGAAAAATGATGTTTTATTAACCATTTTGACTGTATCAAAAGGTTTAAAAAATTTAAATTTGAGTACTAAGAATAATTAATAATTTTTAATTAGAAATTCTTTGATTAATGCATGAACCTTATTGTCTGCAGTGGATATAATTATTCCAACTCTGCGATTCTCACCAATCAAACTTCACTCAAACCCACCCATCATCACTGCAGGCTCTTCTTCGCATCCTTCAAAAGCACTTGACTTTCCGCACACACCACAATCAAACACTTTCCACTCTGCACACTCCATCGCACAAATTTCGGCCGAAAATATAGCTGCGGAGAATCGGCGGCTCCGCTCGTTTCTCACAGAGAAAAATCTCGAGTGACCGCACTGAGAGCTTTCTGCCAGAGTACTGCAGCCCTCGCCCTGCTGACCATGAGTTAACGAGGCTAATTAGCTACCAAATCGAAACGAGTTCTGCCTTTTTTATTTTTCAAAAGAAGAAGAAAAACGTCGACGAAAGAACCCTCCTCTCTTCTCTCCTTTTGCCGCCGCCGCGCCCGCTGCTACTTTTAAATTATCTCTCTCGCAGAGTATTTACCTTTGGTTAATTGGTAGCCTGTTTGCTGTTCCCCGTCACGTTGTTAATTAATGGGCCCCTGCGCTGCACCGCGGCTCAATTTAATGCCGAATGTCCCCCTGTCATAATCAATTTGTTGCCGATGCCCGTCGCGCGCGACTTGCTATCTTGATTGGTGATTTCTGTGCGCGACGGGCATATACAATGATAAGCATTATACAAATTTTTGTGTTAGGGTAACAAGTAAAATCTCTAGAAATGAAAATAAATATCATATTGCAGGATGAAGTGGTGCACGGGCATAAAATGTATAAAATAATTGCTCAATTAAAGGGAAACATTAATTGTTAAAACCTTTTTTCTTTCTCTAAACTAAAACATGAAAACAAAATTTTAATATTTAATTAACAAAAAACAAAGTAATATTTATACTAATAACAGGGAACTTTTAAAAACAAATTTAAAACTTATATTTAATCCTTCAAACACAAACAGTGTAAAAACAATTTAAATTGATATAGCATTTTTAAATTATTTATTATTCATGCAAGAAAAATTATTTTTATCATTATAATTATGCAATTTTTTTTATCAAATATTTTACAATCAAATACAATACAAATAAATAAATAAATACAATCTACTATTAATTTAATGCAAAATGTATTTGATGACACATTAATTTATTTATAGCACCAAATTTAACATTGTTTAATACATAAATACAGAGGTGTGATCAAGAAAAGTAATGAAATTTAAGGAACTGATTTTTTTAGTATATTAATTGAATTGCAAATATAATTGGAAAATTTGTTACAAATATAAAAAACAGAACCATAATACCCTCAATTCGATTGCTAAAAGATATTGGTTGCTGACCAAATCAATGCGAGAATGAGATTCGGTTATAATTTATCAAACGCTGAAGAAACAAAATCACCCTGGGCATTTTCTGCAGCACAGACCACAGCAGAGAGACAATGAACAGGGAACCCTGCCGCGCGCGATTCAAAGTGAAACAATGAGACCATATAGCAGAGGTGCACCCTGAGTTGCAGTCAGGGCACACGCTCGGCGTGCGGCTGTCAGAAGTTGCTAATGAACCTGACCACTGACCCTAAATGCTGTCTCGGCCGCGGCTTTGAATCGGGACCACCCTTGGCGAAAATATTCAAGAGCAATAAATTTATTTCTCATTTTTCATTGCGGCTTCAGCGATAAAATGACGCAATCGTTCTCAATTTCAGTTGGCATTTTATCATTAAATGCCATGTAAAGGAGAAATTTTTACTCCGCAGAGGACAACATATATTGGGAAAGGTATAGTCTAAAAATTGTTCAGTGAAAAAAATGCAACTTGTTCAACGCACAAGGTATGTAGTAAATTGCAAAGATTGCAGATTACGATAACATTTTATGTAATATCAAATCTTAATTGAAATTTGTGTCCAGCAGTTTGCTTATTCTGGGCCTGATTTAAAGAAATATTGGCCTTTCTAACAAAACAAAAAATATAATATGGTTGCTGATTCATTATTATACCAATTCCACAGAGTTTTTGCACAGAAAAAGTACGGAAAATATAGAACAGAACAAAATTATAGAAAATGTCTTTCAAATTTTCCTCTTACAGGGGATTAGTGAAAGTTTGCGTAACTAATTCCTGCATTACATGCAATTATTACTCAATCAGTGGCACCATCGGCTTGAATACACCCCCGAAAACCAGCGGGGGTGCGTGAAACGAGTGACCATTGTTTATTTAAGAGTGTTATTGATTCCATTTCGCATCCCTGGCTGTTTCCTACACAAATAATGGAGCATATTGAAAAGAAAACGATCCCCGCACGCCCATCAGAGAATCATTTGACGTAACGCGAACACTACCCCCTGCTTGTGTTAAAAAAAAAATAATAATAATTCTCTGCAACCAACCCCTTTTATTTTTGGCCGTGCTTTTTCGCGGAAAACACAAGAGAGCGCGTGTGCTTTTCAACGGGCGCATGTGAATTGTGCGAGTCTCCACGACGGGGTGCCTTTGCCACCACCGGCACCCCCGCCCCCCGCCGACGCACCCCCGTTCCCACGCCCTCGCAGCAGGCTCTCGATATTATACGTGCTCTAGATGCAGATTTAACAAGCTCTCGGTTTTTTCTCTTTTCTCTCGATGCTGCGACCCGTCGCTTCTGGTTTGCGTAATCCGCGAGTTTTGCGGCGCGTGCCGCGCCACGTGAAAGTATGCTGTGGATTATTTGTTTCTAATTAATAGGACACACAGATTATCTTCGGCTCACCTTCCTATTGGCTTCATATAATCTTTAAAGAAAATCAGAATTGGGAATAATTTTGTACTGCATAATATCATTAATAAATAATTCTAAACTGATTAGCTAAATGCTTTAAAAAACAACTGCTGAAATATTAAAGATTTCTTTTATGAATTTCGACAAATTTTTATTTAAATGGGCTAGATTTCAATTAAAGATTTCTATGAGGAAATGAGGATATAGAGAGACAAAGTGTAAAAACTTTGAGTAAAACCTGTATCAATGATGGAGCAATTAGTTATATTAGAATTAGTTATTAGTTGTTACATTAAATTACATATTGATATTATGTACTTCAATTCACTGAAGTTGGTAAATAAGGCTGTCAAGTGTCAAAGCCAATAAAGCTACAATTCCTTATTGGAAATCAGTTTTCAAAACAGTCTATTATTTGGTTTATTTCCTTTACTCCAATTTTTTATAGATATGAAAGCTTGACAAAAAAAATTTGGAGCTGCACATCCGCAACGCTGTCCTGCGCAATGAAATTTCTTGCGATGCAACTTTTAAACTTTTCCTGTTCCCGAGCCAAAATTGCGATCGAGTGCCGAAGCGCCTCTAGCGGCCAATCGTCGAACTCCACTAGAAAATTACAGCTGACTTGAAAGAGAAAAGTAAAGTTGATCAACTTTTTGTTTTCATAGGCCGATTTTCATAAAATTTCTCTCAAAATGGCCTCAGGGGCGACGAAAAAGGTAAAACCTTTCGGTAATAATATGTTTGCGAATATTAATTTCTTAAATATTTGTAGCTGACCACAAAGTTAACGGGTCTGGCGGTGGCGAAACATCCGCACCACACACTGTCCGTTCTTTATAATAAGATTCAAAGGGCTTTGCAGCAGATGCCCGAGCAGGCAGCCTACAGAAAGCACACCTCAGAAGTTATTGATGCCAGATTCAAATTGGTTAATGAGGTAATTTTATATACTGGCAATATATATAGAGAGATCATGTAGTAAAACGTGAAACTACATACAATGTAATGTATGTATTAGCCCTATTTTTTGTGACATTCAATTTTTATTTATCTTCTTCATGGTAATTGGTGCGTTAGTAATATTTAATTTAGGACTTAAAACAGTAAAGCGACGGCCTTCATCTTAAATCAGGCGTTTTGGAAAGGGTGTATTTTTTATTCTTTGTTCCTTGCAAACACAATTTTATGTTTTTACAATTTAAAATTCTCTAGTCCATCAAGTAATCATAAATTGATAACACGAAATATAAAAAATTAACTTTTTGACTTTCCATTCTGAAACCTTTCAATTAAAATTTTGAACCCGTGAACCCGAAAAGAGTGAAAGAATTTAAAAGAGGCAGAATTTTAATTTTTTATAAAAAAAAGTATTGATGATAACCTTTCCTTATTTTAGATCAAAGACGTTGACCAACTGGAGCAGAAAATTGGCTGCGGACAAATCGAGGAGGTGATTGTCCAGGCGGAGAACGAATTGGTGCTTGCCCGCAAGATGCTCGGCTGGAAACCATGGGAGCCTCTTCTGCGTGCGGCACCCGAGGGTCAGTGGCAGTGGCCCCCGACCAAGCCCTAGGTAGATAGTAAAGATGTATTAAATTGAGGATGAAAATATGGAAGCTGTTGTAGGTCTGTTATAAAATGAAACCATTCATAATATGGAAAAATTAGTTAACTGATTTTAATTGCATCATCCTTATTTTTTATATATTTCAGAATTAATTTTCAAAAATTAATTATCATTACAGCATTATTAAAAATTTCTATTCATTATTGTAAAAAAAAATTTCCCTGAAGATTTTACTTCTAAACTTAAAATTATTGCATTAGCTAAGGATAACTGCTGGAGTTAGCCAATTTGTTCACTAATTTACTTTTATAAGGCAAACTGAAGACAGTAGACATGATAAATTTTTTTTCCATCATAAAAGCTTAATTCTTAACCTCCTCTAATCAAGCTCGGAGTAAATCGAGGGTATTTGTTAAGTTATAAGGTTTAGATAATTAGCCAGGAGCAGAGCTGGTATAGGAAAATTCACTCATATTTTTCCCACTTCGTTGACCTGCACACGGGATATGAATTCTATGACCTCACTATAGCCACTCTTTGAACAATTGTAAATCGATGGAACTTTGTCTCATCACTTTGATTGAGCTCAATGGAATACGCTGTTGCGGTGATTATCCGGGAGCAGCGAGCATGTGGAAATAGTGATAATTGATAATTAAAATTAATTAATGTTTTTCACCATTGGCTTATACTCCTCTTCCCTTTTAAAAAAAATTCTTTTTTATTTTTTCGCCAGTTTTCAGGACTCCAGACACATTCATTTCGGCACCTAGATTTAGGTAATTAAAAGAATACAGGACTGGCTTGATCACGGCGCAAAAGGGGAAGCAGCCATATGAGAGCGCAAAAGAAATAGAAACTCAATAAAAAAAAATCACCGATTTAGGAATTAAGAAAAAAAATAGTAATATTGTGCAGTCACCTTGAACTGCATGGACGCATATCAAGGAAGAACCATGAGCATGTAATTTTGCGCTCAATTGAGATATGGTGGTTGTACCAGTGGTCGCACACTTAAGGAATTTTCAAGATTTATATTAAGTTTATTGAATGATATATTCAATTTTTGATGTTTTTAGCTATTATAATGGATAGAATACATTCTCAGGATACTATTAACAAGTTCAAATGATATGCAAATGCAACTAAGTGCTATTTATAGGCGGTTAAACAAAAAAGTAGCTGTTGTAGGTAATGTCGCACAATGGCACCGGCCCTCGCACACGTACGAGCCATTGGTCGCACACTGCTCGCCGAACGCTGCTTTTAGGCGTTTTAACGCAAATTGAGCCTTCTGCTTTGAATTTTGACTTGATTTTTTATAAAATAAAAAATCTCAATGTTAGAAAGACTTAAAAGAGAGATTTATAACCATCTTGGTGCAATATATTCGCGTTTTACATGATCGTATTAAAATTAAAAAAAAAATAGTCTGAAATTGAAGCCAACATAATAAAGTAAAACAAATATTTGCTGGAAATTTTTCAAAAGGATATCAAAAGGAATTTCTAAATTAACTCGAAGAAATATTTTATTATTTTGTTTCCTTTCTAACAGGCAATATGTACATGCAGGGAGCGTTCTACATTTGCAGCAACCTTAGTGACACTTGGGTAACTATGACAGGCGTAGATTATGGCTGGTCTGGCTGGAAATTCCCAGGGCCCTGGGCCCCGAAGGAGCCCTTTGGCCCAAGTATGAATGATATTTCAGTGAGTGACAAAAAAAATGAAATATTCTCGCTCCTTTCGCAATCATTTTCATAATGGAAATTAAAATAAAAACATTCAAACTTGGACTGATATTGCACTATCCTGCAGTTGATCCTGCACTTCTTTTCCCGCGCGTCAACCCTTCCCTTCCCTCTCCGCGCCTAACAGAATAGAATGAATTACGAATTACATAGTAATGTAATATAATTATTCTCCTGAACGCGACAAAATTTGTTGGAAATCGCTGCTCGGTATGGTGGTGGGGACGCGTACGGACACTACGGACGGAGGGGTATGATGCGACTTGTTTGCTTCTCTAATTTGGCCGAGCTGCGCGGGCAGCCAAATCCAGCGAACGGAGTTGCATTGTTTCCCCTCTCACCGCGCACTGCCTTCCCCCACCAACACACCATTTTCACTGCCTTTTTTTTGCCTGGCAGCCAAATCCAGCAAAAGTTGTCGCGTTTGTGAGAATCGGGTGAAGGTGAGTTGTAAACAAAACCAAGCGCAAAACTCGACTCGATACAAAGAATTACTAAAATTTGGATCTACGTTTTTCCACACAAAAAAAGAGTAAAAGACCTTTGATTCTCAGACATAATGGCAGAGGTAAAGAATCTTTAATAAATTTTTTTGAGGCGTTAGCATTTCTTCTCTAAAATATTAATTTAAATTCCAGGAAGTTCAGCGGCACTCTGTGCACACGCTTGTTTTCCGGTCCTTGAAGCGTGCCCACGACCTCTTCATTTCAGAGCATAGCAAATTACCTGAAAAAGACCCTATAGCGTAAGCGCATTTTCTGAAATTTTGAAATATTTTAATTTGTCTTATCACAGAGAGAAACTTTGGCGCACAGTCAAGGCCAGGGACCAGTATGGCTCGATCGTGGACACGGTCAAGAGGCAAAAAGCTCTTCAGCCTCACGCAGAAGACCATTCGGCAAAAGAGGACGATTTGGCGGAAGTCTCTGAAGAACTGGCTGCCTCGACCCCGAGCACTCCAGCGACCAGCAGTAGTCTGGCTCTCATCCCCCAGCAGCAACAGCAAAACACCACGCAGGCTCTTATACCTAGAAGGCCCCACACAATGCCCAAGCCGAAGTGGCACGCACCCTGGAAACTGTGCAGGGTCATCTCAGGTCACTTGGGTTGGGTCAGGTGTGTTGCAGTGGAGCCTGGAAATGAGTGGTTTGTCACGGGAGCTGCAGATCGTGTCATCAAGGTCTGGGACTTGGCCTCTGGCACTTTGAAGGTCTCCCTCACGGGACACATTTCGACTGTCAGAGGACTTGCTGTTAGTCCAAGACATCCGTACCTTTTCAGCTGCGGAGAAGACCGACAGGTCAAGTGCTGGGACCTTGAGTACAACAAGGTTTGATAACATTTATTACTTGAAAAAGTAGAAACTGCATACTCTCCGTCAATAATGAAACATTTTTTTTTTTTTGTATCATTGGCATTGTATTTTTCTTGAAAATATTTTATCTTAAATTTTTTTAATATATTGAATTTTAATTTTAACTTTTAACTAACAATAAGCATTTAAAAGAAAAGAATTAAAAATTCCCACTCAATTTGGAATTTTTCAAAATATTTTTATTTAATTTGTTCATACTTTCCAGGTTATAAGACACTACCATGGTCACTTGTCTGCCGTATACTGCTTGGCGTTGCATCCTACCATTGATGTTTTGATCACTGCCGGACGAGATTCAACTGCTAGGGTTTGGGACATGAGAACCAAAGCAAACGTCCACACTCTCAGTGGACACACCAACACAGTTGCCAGCGTTTTGTGTCAAGCAGCAGAGCCTCAAGTAATTTTAAAATATAATCAAGATTCCAAAAGAAAAACTGATGCTAATATCAAAATTCAGGTTATCACAGGCAGTCATGATTGCACCATCAGACTGTGGGATTTAGCAGCTGGCAAGTCCAGGTGCACCCTGACTAACCACAAGAAGAGTGTTCGAGCCCTTGCTCTGCATCCTAATTTGTAAATCGAAGCTTTGAACAAAATTTTCCACAAAATTAATCATCTTGAAATTACTCAGGTACATGTTTGCTTCTGCCAGTCCTGACAACATCAAGCAGTGGAAGTGTCCAGAAGGAAAATTTATTCAAAACCTTAACGGCCACAACGCCATCATAGAGTGCATGGCCGTAAACAGCGACGGAGTTTTGGTCAGCGGAGCCAACAACGGCTCAATCCACCTCTGGGACTGGCGCACTGGATACAACTTCCAAAGGCTCCAGGTACATTTGAATTGCAAAGTATTTAGTATTAATAATCGATTCATTATTATTTTCTAAAGGCCCCTGTGCAACCGGGCTCCATGGATTCCGAAGCTGGAGTTTACGCAATGACCTATGACCACTCGGGAAGCAGACTTATTACAACCGACGCTGACAAAACTGTAAAAATTTACAAGGAAGATGACACAGCGGTATTTCTATTAATTCTCCTTTCAAAACAAATCTCTTAATTATTTTTATTTTAGACCGAAGAGACACACCCTGTCAACTGGCGCCCAGACATCCTCAAACGAAAACGCTACTAGTTTTCATTCCAATCTTATCTTGCATTTTGTATCACATTAAAACACTGGACATAACTCTTTTATTTTTTTTTCTTAAATATATCGTTGACTGTTGAAAAAGAGAAAAATGGGAATTTTTGACTTCAAAATATCTGACTTTATTTGTTGACTAAACGAAAATGAAAAAATTAAAGACAGTCTGTTATCACTTGCATCAGGCCTCGAGGTCGGTGACAAACAGGGCTTGTTTGCCACCTAGGCCAGCCTCCTGGAGGGATGTGTTGGCCCCGTCACCCTGGCACTGGAGGACTCTTCGAGGAAAATTTTGAGAAATCTCAAATTGGTCTGGTGAATCAGGGTGGCAGAACACATAGTGAAACACATCCTGGTGAAAAATAAATTAATATCAATCAAAACCACGCATGGTTGTAAATTAGCTACCTGAAGTTTGTGTTCAGGAAGGAAACGCCGCTCAAGCCTTCGACCCGATGGCAGTTTGATGACCAAATGCACAGCATTGGCTTGATCAGTTGGTGGCTCTGGAGGAATTTGGTCAGCCAGATCAATTTTCCGCCTAGCAATTGCCTTCAGAGAGTAGAGTAAGGTTAAAAAAAAGCTTTAACTTGAAAAAAAGCATTACTTCTTTTTCTCGTTGGCGTTCTTCCTCCTCTTCGCGCAGTCTGGCTTGCTCCTCTTCCAACGCTTGCTGCTGCTCTCTTTTGCGCCTCTCCTTTTCCTGGTCAGCCAACAAACTCTCTTGATAGGCCTCATCCTGCTGTTGGCGGAGCAGGTTTGTCTGGCTCCTCTCATTTCTGGAGTTTCAAAATTATCAATCAATTTTATAGTTTTACAAGAAGAAAATTCAGGCAATTTGAAAGTCTTAGAAAAAAAAGATTACATCAGAACAATTCAGTTATAAATTTTGGGGTTGGGCTTAATTTAAATCTTTAAAGCTAGCAAAAATATCTTAAAATTGAAAAGCTAAAAAGCTTTCTTTGAAATTCCTCACCGTTCGGCCCTAACAGCAATCAAGCTCATTTCATTTTCGGTCACAACGTTCCGCAGCAGCGGGACCAACTCTTCGGGCTGGACGTGACCTTCGTAGCGAGACACCACAGTCATCCTGTGGCCTCTGAGCACCGCGACCGCCAGGAAGGGGTAGCTGTTCTCTCGGAGGGCCTGTGAGACCCGGTAGCCCTCGGCGCTGCTGACGTCGCAGCCCCACAGGAGCCAGTTGGCCGACCGGAGGTATTCGTTGAGCAGCACCGAGCACAGGGTCTCCCGACAAAAGGGGTCTGTGTTCTGGTGGTCTTGGCAGTGCAGGTAGATCAGCAGGAATTTGAGCTCTTGCTTCGCCACCGCCAACGCCTGGCTGTAACTGCTTCGCCAAAAGGCAGGCCGCACCTCGGCGCCGTATCTTGTGTGGAAGTTTTCTATGAATTGCTTGACATCCTCGATGGGACTTGACGAATTGCTGCCCAGCGACCCTAAAAGCAGAGAAAGGTTTTTATTGGGAAGGGTTGATGGAAATAATAATTATTGAGTTATTCACAAAAACAAAATGAGCTAGATGCCTATGAGAATTTTTTATAATTTGCGCTGGATAAAAAAGAATGACTATAAATTCAAAATGAATTTTAATAAACAGATGAAATTTTTCAGTCAAGTCAACAGCCTGGGTTCTAAAGAAAAAATTCTTGCAAATGACAGTTTGAAATATATCAAAATAAATGTAAAGATGAATGGATTGAAACATATATTATACGACAAATACACGCATCACACAAGCATACATGATCGTTAATTATTCTTTTCTGTGTATTTTTCATTGCCTGCTTGTTCATATCTGGCAAGCGCATCAGAATAAATGGCAATAGGCCAGTAGTGGTGGTGCGGTTGCTGGTTTTCGTTTTCATCATTGTCGCTGTCAACTATTTCCATGCTCTCAGTGCTCTGCGTTTCATCTGGGATCTGCATTTCCTCCTCAATTTCCAGCTCCGAGTCAATAACCCGATCTTCAGGTTCAGAATTTTCAGGAGCGGAGAGATCCATCGACTTCACCAATAAAACTTTTGCAGAAAATAGCAACAAAAGGCCAATATTGATTTAAATTTCTTACACAACTTATACATTGTTGAATAAAAAATCATTCAAAGATTATACTTTTCATTGTTATCTTTTAATTTTTCATTAAAAAAAGTACATCCCTGGTTTCATCAAATGATTTTTAAAAACAAAGCATAAGAAAAGCTGCCCTATAAATAAAGGAATCCAACCTATTTCAAATCAATAAAATGAATTCCGGGCTGTATTTGCCAAAAGTATAAAAGGCACCAAATTGAAGCTTTAGCATACAGAGATAATAATAAGAGATTCAACTTACGCCTGTCTGGGGGTCGAATGAGCCTCCAGAAGACACCAAATGCAGACCAGATGCTTCTAGAGATGAGATTGTAGACCAGAGAAATGATGTAGCCCAGCAATCCTTGACCTGGCGCCCTGACGGGCAACCACCTTTCGACTGCGTGATCTCTGTTTGTCAGGGTGTCATGCACTGCTCTCTCCAGCTCCCAATTGTGACGTTGCAGAATTGTTCTACATTCCGCAAGTTCCTCGATTCCAGTCAGTTCCTGAGGAGGACCAGAATTTAGAGCAGGCCTTACAAATAAAATTCGCTTATTTATACTATATTTTAAAACTTTTAATAAAATGCGAGGTGGTTGCAATCATAGCATCTGGATGATCGATTTATAAAGAGAGACAGTCTCAAAATGAAGGTTTGAATGCAAACTTTTGCTTGAGCCTTCAGGATTTTTATGCAAGGAATTTTGTCACGATAGTTTATTTTGAAAATACCTGAAACTGGAGTAGTTTTTCCACTTGAGAACCTTCTAATTCTTCCATCGTCTACCGATAAACAAAAAATTCTTTCAATGACATGAACGAAACCAGGACACAACAACGGCCATGTTGGTTACGCACTTGGACCAACCTCGTAGAGTTAAGAGTTAATTTTCATCATTTTTATCGGATATCGGATCTCATTTTTAATTACATTTATTTGCGTCTTATATGGTGTCTTTAAAAATAATAGTAAATTGATTTTTGAATCAATGTTGTATTTCATTTGAAGAAATTATAATTAAGTCAGACGTCTTCTAACAGAATATTCTTAACTTTATTTTGTTGGTAGTGACATATTTATATTATTTATGAACCTTTTAAAGCTTTTAAAAACAAGAGCGAATAACATCGCAAATCACAAGACTTTTATTAATTTGAAAAAAAGTATAAAAGTTAAGTGGAAAGGGCAGTATACCCGGTCACCGTTGCGGCGAACGGCAAAAAGGTAATATGTTTAAAGAGGAAGTAGTAACATTGCATATGTACATATCATAAAATATCTATGCATATTTTGTTTTATGCATTTGCTTTTGCAGCTTCAGAGGGTCAAAGTAAAATGATCATTCCCGCTACAACATTATCTCGCAATGATTATAAAAAAAAATAATGGTGCTCATTTTTTTCAATCGGCTCATCTAACCATCACCGCTAGCTTATCAGTCCCGGTGCTGGGCTTATCGCTTGAATAAGTCCAAAACCCACGGCAACACGTACATAAAATAATAATTATACAGCAATTTTTATGTGATGTTTGGGGTGTATCATTTTTTAATTGGCAAAATTAATTTGGAACTTGATAGCTTTTTTATGCTTTTTAAAAAAATTTTTTGCTTTGTCTTATTTGTCTGAAATGAAAAACCAAATTTTTTAACCTTCAAGACTGTTTTTCTGATTTTTATTTCAATATTTAATGTTACATATATGCCCCAATACTGGAGGTCAAAAATATCAAATCAATTACATATTTAGTACATACATACTCTCAACTGCTTTCAATGTTGTATCTATTCTAAATATATATTCACAATATTTTCAGAACGATGTTTAAAAATCTTGTGATCGCCATCTTCCTGGTGCTCTTAAGCAACCTAATCTACAAAGTTTTCATCTATGAGCACCCAGTGCCTGACATCGACAAAGATGCATATTGGGGAGCAGGACAGCCTCGTCCGGACGACATCTCAATCAAACCCTTCAAAATCCAAGTCCCTGATTCAGTAAGGTTTTGTCTACTTTTATTCCAAGACTCTGGCTAATTTAAAGTTCTTTTTATTTTCAATAGGCTCTGAATGACTTGAAAACACGATTGGATTTGGATATTCGTTATCAGAAAAGTCTTGAAGGAGTTAATTTTGAGTATGGCATGAATCCCACAACTCTCCTCGAGGTTGTCGACTTTTGGAAGAACAAATACAACTGGAGGGAACGTGAGGCAAAACTAAACTCTTTCCCTCAATTCCTGACTCAAGTTTCCGGCCTTCGCATTCACTACGTCCACGCCAAACCAGAAAAAGTTCCAAGCGGAGTTCAGGTAAATTTTGATTTAAAAAATTTAGCAAATCAATAACTGAAATTTTTAAGGTTTTGCCGCTTTTACTCCTTCACGGATGGCCCGGCACTGTGAAAGAATTTCACGCCCTCATCCCGATGCTGACCAAACCTCACGAAGAAATCGTTTTTGAAGTGATAGCGCCTTCTCTTCCCGGCTATGGATTTTCAGAGGCAGCCCACAAACAAGGCTTGAGCACGCCTGAAATGGCCGTCATCTTCCAAAAATTGATGAACCGACTTGGTTTCAAGAAATTCTACCTGCAGGGAGGTGACTGGGGCTCTCTCATTGCCACTGATTTGAGCATCCTTTATCCCGAACGGTAAAATTAATTACTTTTGAATCAACATTTTCCTATTTCCCGATAATAATCTTCCTGTTCACTGACTTTAGACAAGCATAATTATTTAAGAAGAAATAAAAAGTCATTCTGACTAAAAATTAAACAATTTAACTGAAAATGATTTTAAGATTTGATAAAGAAGTATTTAAATTTGCGGAAATTTTTTTTGATACTTAAGTTTGTATTGCTTGTAAATAATTTTTTGCCAGCAAAATTTACCTAATAATTTCATTTTCTATGAGTTAAAGTTGAAAGTAATGAATTAGGAAAAAAAAGAAGAGTAATAATTTAATTTAATTTTCCTCATTTTTATCTTTGTCTTAAGATATTACAAAAATGTATAAATAAACTGCAATTTCAGTGTTTTGGGTCTTCATGTGAACATGTGCGGATCCATGAGTCAACTGGCTACCTTCTACCAAATTGCTGCCAGCCTCTACCCACCTTTATTCATGGACAAGCAGATTTCTGACATTTTATATCCAATGTCAGACTTTTACTCAAATCTTGCTTTGGAGACTGGCTACATGCACATTCAGGCTACCAAACCTGACACTATTGGTAACATTGATTTAACATAGCTCTATAAAAAAACATAAACTTATAAAACTTTCATGAAGACTCCAAGGAAAATTAAATGCATTTGTAATAACTGGAATTACATTATTTAATTTGTTCTCTCTGTTCCAAAGGAAATGCGTTGGCAAACACGCCTGTTGGTCTCGCAGCCTACATATTGGAAAAGTTCTCCACTTGGACAGACAATAAAAACAGGAATCTCCCTGGAGGTGGTCTCACTGAGAAATACAAGCTGGAAGATTTGCTCGACAACATCATGATTTACTGGCTCACTGGAAACATTGCCTCCTCAATGCGTCTCTATTCTGAAGTTTTCAACAAGAGACATTACGCACAGGGATGGGATGAGTAAGTAAATTTGTCTTTAACTTTAATCTTGATTCAATATTAAATATAAGTTTTTTTATTTTTAATAAAAAAAGTTTTTGGATTAAACAGATATAAAATTTTAAAGTTTGAGTAATTTTCTGATAAAATTTATAATATTTTTCAGCGTACCTTGCAAAGTACCAACCGTGTGCGCCCGTTTCCCCAGCGAGCTGCTCATTCAACCTGAGTTTGTGATTCGCCTCAAGTACCCCAAGCTTTTGCCCTCTCCCGACCCTTCGCATCCTGACTACATTGTTCACAGACCTCCCCGAGGTGGACACTTCGCTGCCTTTGAGGAGCCGGAGTTGCTTGCAAACAGCGTCTTCAAAGGTTTCCGCGACGTCATCAAGCAAAACGCCTAAAAGGTATCAAAAAAATTCTTCATTCCATTAAACGGTTGTGATCGAAAGCGACGGAATTTAATTCTAAAGCACAACGATAGATTGTTTATTTTTGCTTAGCAATAAAATATTTGGGAATTGTCTTCTACTAAATCAATTTCATCATTTCCAATCTCCAGCAGCCAAATATATAATGGTACCATTTTGATTTGCATTGGGCATTTTTTAGGTCTATTTTATGGCTTTTTTCTGCATCAACATTATAATGCTGAGATAGAATCGCCAATCTACCAGGCGACTTTTTTATGAAATCATCAGCAGGCTCTTCATCTCCTTTTGAACAGATTGCATCTGATATTGACGTGCATGAAATGAAGTTTTTTCTCACTGAAAGTTTGCCACCAAATTCAATTAACTCTCTCATCCTGGGATGATAATACACGGCGAGGCATCTTTCATCCGTTTCTTTGCGCTTCGCTCTATGAAGGAAATGTAAATTACTTCTCTGGCGTTTGATTGAATATTAATAATGCACAGAAGCCCGTCAACTTTTGCCAAGCAGATCTCTTTTGATGTCTAAAACCTTTTTTAAAGAAATTTCGAATAGGAAATTAAATGAACTTTTCCTTCAGCTCCTAAAATTTTCATAATTTGTTTGATATTAAAAAGCAAATCAATTATCTTCAAAAACTTTTTTTGCCAACAACACTGTACATTATTTAGTTGGAAATATAATAATTGCCATCTCTATTTAGTAAAAACTTTTAAATACTATGAGAATGCTGATAATAGTTTGAAATATCTTTAAAACTAGTATATATTTTTTTTATTATTATTTATTCTTCTCGGTTCTTTTCATAGCTATTTCTCACTTATTTTGCTCTACACATTAGAAAGAGAAGATGACTACTTATTTAAATGCGGTCAATTTTTCAAAGTCTCCTGTTATTCTTTAAAAATATACTTTTCACTCTCTCGCGACTTGCACTCATAATTGAAAATTTGTTAACCATAACAATTTTGCGTGTATGCACGCCGCGCAACACAGCTATGGTGCAGGTTGCATATTTTGGAACAATCGTGAAATAAATGACAATTTTGCAAGTTGGAATATGGAAATAATTCCAGGTAAAAAAATGCAAATTTGGTTTCGATTTTATCAGAGAAGAATAAAATACTTTTTACATTTATGGAGGATAAAAAGATGTTTTCTGAAAATTTTTCAAAGAAAGCGTTGACGTCTTACAATTGGGCTCAAATTTGGTTGCTTAGGTTCAGTAAGAGTTTGTGCGAGTAATTTTTAAATTCTATAGAAGCAAATCAAGACAAATTTAAAAAAGGTAGAAAAAAAATGAAATACTCGGGAAATTAACAAAAAGAAGAAAATCAGAAATAAAGTTCTTTAACTAAGCAAGATTTTCAGCGACCAGATAAGGAAGAGGTGTAAATAATTCATTCCCCTGTATTTTGCCATTTCTTTGAGAAGAAATCAGTTCCCTTCAAGCATTTGACCAATCAACTGATTTTAGATTTTACAACGCGAGTTCGCTTAATCCTCCACTTGGCTCTCGTTTCCCGGTGTCTGCACTTGTTTTCATCTCGCACACCATCCGGAAAGAATGCAATAATTGCAACACCCATTCACAAGGCGCGGCCCATTAATCGTTCAGAGAGATGCAAAACAAGCAGCGCACGTGTTGTTGTGCAATCGCAAAACACAGCCGATTAACGCGTGCACGGCAGAGAGTAATCGCCGCAATTGCTGCCGCTGGTTTTTGGCGGAAATTGTCTCTGTCGGCCGCAGCTGGCGTTTTTCCTCTTAATCAAAACGGCGTGACGGACGGGTGATAAGAGAGGCGCGCGGGCCGCGTTTTCGCGTGATTATTTTGATCCCCTAGCCCAGATCCACGCACCACGTACTTTGATATAAAGCGCGCGTTCACAATAGTGGAAATAGCCGCTGTGGCTGCTCAGCTTCTCTGGCCGCGGCCCGCCACCGCCAAGGGTATAACACGGCCGCGCCCGCCCGCCCCCCGACCATCACAATCGCCCCTTTTGGCCATAAACCGGTGAACCGTGCCAATCTATTAATTACGCCGACGCGCGCCGCTTTTTTTTCTTTTTCTCAACACTCGAGCTTTCGTCTAATTGCCCTCCGTGCCTGCAAGTGTTTTTTTTTCATGTCACTCCTCGCGTTAGTGTCGCGACCAGCCTCAGCTTTTTTTCACAAACGGAGCCAACGCTTTTTATTTGCTTGGTGCCAATCCATTAGCTTCAAGCTTGGCGAATTTTTAATTTGGTCACATGTTTCTTAATACAATTTGTTTTTTTGTTAAGACCTCTAAATTTGAGGGTGTTTTTAGTAATAAATTGAAAAATATTGCTGAAGGGGAAGATTTTAAATTTTTTATTTTGATTAATTTAAAGCTGCCTTCAAGTGATTTGGATTGTGCAAGCTGAAAAAATCCTTAGAAGTAAATATTTTATAATAATAGAGAAAAAAATTGCTTTTTAAATTATATTAAACATTTTCATAAAATATATTATTTTTGCTAAAGATTTTTTCATATGCTATTCTCATATGTATTAAAGAAACGTCAAGCATTTTTAAAGTCAGATAACTTTCAAATCGCCCAACAATGTGGCATGAAATTTGACTGCTGTTGTGTTTTTCATGATTTTCCTCATTTTACGGAAAACTTTATAGTGATGCATCACTAATACATAAATACATGAAAAAATGAATATTGTAAATTTTAAACAACTTATTAAAAATTTATTGCAATAATGTAATAATTTTCTTTTTATAAATATCAACTTAAATTTTCTAAATCAAATATGCCCGTAGAGCTATGTATAATTTTATTGATTATTTATTCATTTTTTACTACTCTATGAAAGGAAGCCTAAATATTAAAATGAACTGCGCTCTTCCAACCCATCCTTTAATTGGGAGTCAAATTGCTAACTTTTAATCATAACTTCATTCATTCTAGATAATTGCTGAAAATTAATGGGGATCCCTTCTTTCTTCTAATTCTTTAGCATCCACATCATTAACTCTATTTCTTTTTTCTTTTTCGACATCATGTTGAAGGGCGATGTCGAAATTGTGAGGTTTTATAGTCCTTAGGGGAACCCTTTTTTGGGCCATTTCGAACGGTCGCGGCATACCAATCAAAGTCCAAATAAATTAACGTTTTATGGCACCGGCTATCAAACGAGCGCGAGATTTTTTCTCTCGCTCTCTTGTCATAGAGGCGGGCAATAAAACTGCTGCTTTTTCACACACACGCGCGCGCTGATGCCGCAACATATTATTTGAAATGTCACCCCCGTCATATTGTCACGCCGTCTGTCTGTTTTCTGGGCCAAAAACAAAGATAGCTGCGACAGCGCGGCCTCCCGTTTTGATTAAAAACATTCGCTCTCCGCTCTCGCCAACACACCGGACCACACCACTCTAATTTGGCCACTAACTTTTCATCCACTCGTGATTTACTCGCGCGGCCACTTTCGCAAGCCTATAATGGCCAATGACGTCAAAACCAAACGCGAAATTACATGAATTAAAATATTTTGTAACCCGGTGGTTCAGAGTTTTGTAAATAGTTTAAACCATTTTCACATTAAAAAAGAAATTAAAATATTTAAAAAAAAAAACTTTTTGTTTGAAGGTTTTGGAATAAAAAATCAGACCGTGAAAATTGAATAAAAGACGCTGGCAGAAAATTAATAAAATGATTTTATTCTAAAATTCACTCTAAAGTTGGCAATTTTGTTATCTGAAATAGTGAAATGCAGTTAAAAAAAGGTTTTTTGATATATTTTATTCATTTAATTATATTAACTATCAATGCAAATTTATGTTCTAAAAAGTCATCTAAAAGCTGAACGATTTTAATGGCTAGAATTGGCTAGAATATAAAATTTCATATGATCCATAATGCTTAAATAAGTTATAATTGAAATTAGAATAATATGTTTTATTAATCAAATAAAACACATTATGTTGCAAAATATACAATCTTGTCAATTTTTATTGCAAATTTAATAGTTCTTGTTAATTGTGTAATTTTTTATTATGTGTGTAGAAATTTTTTATTTTTCATTTAATTATCTTCCTATTATTTAGAATGAAAAGTTTGATTCAATCTTCATTTTAATTTTGTTCAAAAATGTAAATTGTACCCTTTGTTCTTTGAAAGAGAATTATTTAAATTTAGTTTTTATTTAAATATATCCTTTTTTATTTAAAGACAAAACTGCGAGCTCTTTAATATATATTTATATAGATTAATTTGTACTATTTTTAATGCAAAGCAGGCTACAAAGTAAACGTTTTAAAGAGAGACATTCACGGTATGTCTTTGTCTTTAAACTTTAATTTATAATACGCATCTATTGTCCTTGTTCCTTTTGCCTGGGGCCAAATATAAAACTATGTTTTATTCGCAACTGAGACTAAGAGCCGACATTTGTTTGGTCGCAAGCGGCGCTCGCGATCAGAACTTTGAAAAATGCTTTTTGCGTTTGGCCTGGCAGGAATGTTAATTAAGCGAGAGAAAAAATTAAACGAGTGTTTCTGCCAAAAATGAGGAGGAAGCAATTCCGGTGAAATCTGGTCGACGAAATTGGCTGTCAGATGCACCTCTGGAAGTCGTTTGTTTTTTCGAGAAAAAAACCGTCGTCAGCGCCCGAAATGAGATGCAGCGGCTCGGTCTGTCTCTGCAGCTAGAGTTATTTATGTTCCAACATATTTATTATCAAAACAAGCGAATCAACAAAAACAACGGCCAACCGTGATTATTTTCGTAAGTAGTCCGCGTCGCGCTCGATTCCCTTTTAAAATTGGAAAAGACAAAGATTAATTTGATCCGTCTTGAGAGTTTGGTAATCTGCAGACCAAGAGAGCAAAAGACAAGAGCCTAATTATTCGGATAACACTCACGCGGGGACACCGCGGCAGCTCTTTCTATTTTAATATGCAGTGTGTGCGTTGTTCCAAGAAAGAGGCAAATTTATTTTATGACCCGAGAGGGTGCCTCAAAAATCTTTTTCATCTTCTTCTCGAGCGGAACCAGAAGGTCTCCCTCGCGTGATGGATATGTTTTTGTTTCGTTTTTTGGAGCTCCCTGTTGCTTTTGCTTTTTCGGAGCGTAAAT